CAGAATCACAGCAACTCAAACCACCACAGCACGACAGACAGACGAGTAGGTATTGTAGGCACTGTAAAAAGGAGTCAAGTATGATACAGAAGGATAACATGCACATGTATGCACATACACATGTTTATATATGCTTGTGCACTCATACACAGGATTTAGGGGGAAGAGCGCTCTGGGATAAAACTGGAAAGGAAGTCATGAGAGTTAATAGAATGTCAGAAAAGGGTCTTTTGTAGAAAAGTACCTGACATAGTCTTGACACATAAATTACAACATAGGAAAGACAGACAAAGTTTGCCATAAGACTATATTTTATCATGAGAAGAATGTGGGTAGTAATGCAAAACTGACAATGATATTCAAAGCAAAGGGCTGGATGTGAAAACCAGCAGTTGTCCTCTTTTTAGTGGCAGCAATGTTGTTTCATGCTCTATCCCTTTTTCTTATCTGTTGAAATTTAAGCCTCCCCCAAAAGGGGGCTGTTATGCATTGAATTTTGTCTCCCCAAAATACATATTGTAAATCCTAACCCCTATCTGTGGATGTAATCCCATTTGGAAATAAGATTTTCTTTATTATGTTAAGGAAGCTGTATTAGTGTAGGGCATGTCCTAAACCTAATTTTCGAAATATAAAAGAGACAGATCAGGGGCAGAGCAAAAAAAACATAAATAGGGTAAAGACAATTTCCATGAAGAAATCATCAACAAACCAGGGCATGACAAGGTTACAGAAGTTGAGACAAGTGTCTTGCCCAAGAGCCAACAGAGAGAGGGGTTTTTCTAGAGCTTCAATCCTTCTGGGTTGAAACTTACATTTACTTCTTTTTTTTTTTTTTTTAAAGTTTTTTAATTGTGAATTGAGTGAAAGATCATCAGTTTTATATTCAACAAATCATATACTTTGTTTCATTACAATGGTTATAATCCCCTCCATGTACCATCAGTTAACAGTATTTCTATTCATTTTAGCTCTTTTTTTTAAAACACTCAGGCATACATAATTGCACCATCAAAGGGGACATTCTGCTAGTATGCCTCCTGGCTGCCAGCTCTCAGTCCCTCTCTTTCCATGAATCTAAGTCCTCAGCTGCTCTCTCTCCCATTACATTTACTTCTTGAACTGTGAGAAAATAAGTTTCAGTTCTTTAAAATCATCTACTTATGATATTTCTGTAAGAGCAGCACTGGATAATTAAGACAGGAGCTAACCCATTCAAATCACATGTTCCAATCACAAGTTATCCCTGAAGTTGATTGTGCAATTCCGTTTTACTAACAGAAGCCTAGGGAGTCCTGGTGTGGTGCTGTGAGTTAATGTGCCAGACTGCAAAGCCATTTGAACTGTCAGGTCAGTGGTTCAAGCTCACCAGCTGCTCCTTGGAAACCCTATATAGGGTTGCTATGGGTCGGAATCGACTCGAAGGCACTCAACAACAACAGCAACAACAACAACAACAGAAGCCTGGTGTGGTGCTGTGGATTAAAGTACTGGATTGCAAAGTCAGTTTGAACCATAAGGTTGGTGGTTCAAATTCACCAATGACTCCTTGGAAACCCTAGGATTGCTATGAGTTGGAACTGACTCTACCACACTTAATAATAGAAGCCTGGTGTGGCACTGTAGGATAAGCACTGGACTGTTAACTGTAAGGTTGGCAGTTTAAATCCACCAGCTGCTCCTTGGAAACCCTATACAGGGTCACTGTGAGTCAGAACCAACTCAACAGCACATAACAACAACAACCATAAGGTCAGGTGTCCAAACCCACCAGCCACTCCTTGGAATCTCTATATAAGATCACTATGAATTGGAACTGAGTTGATCACACTTAACAACGATAATAGGAGCCACCAGGGAGATTCAGAAGCACAAGGAACATACAGCCCTTTTAAGATCCTCTTTTGAGGGGTCAATTCTTTCCCTAAGATGCTGAAAATCTGTTTTAGATGAAGACAGGGGTCAGTTTTAGAAAAAGCCTAGCAGTTTATTTTCTGATCGTTTACAGAGAGCTGCTTATCTCTTTACACCTTCTCAGGAGGGTCTGCAAGGCAACTTCAGCTGCTCGCTGGACACTGACACAAGGGTCTTCCCGGAGTGCTTGGAGTCCTGAAATAGAATAGTGAAATTCTTTGAATGAGGAACACCAGAGACCAGCAGAAAGGCCAATGCAAATCAAGCCCCACCTAACATACTTAGTACTGCACAGCTCACTGTTGAGGATCAGCCCATTGGGGGAAGTGGGGAGACTCAGTTCCTGATGCTCACATTTACCCATAAAAAGCATAGAGTTTGGAGCAACTGATTGCAAATCTACATTAAACTTGAAATAAGGCAGAGAAGACAATTACAAAAGCATATAGTCTGCTGGGAATGATATCTTACAAAGGTGGGAGGTACCTCAGACTCTGTAGCAATCACAGTATTCACTGATTGTCAGAGACAATAACCAGATGATAAAACTTTCAATTTCTGGGCTAACATGCAACTTGGGGAAGAAATGGTTTCTCTTTCACTGAGAACATAACAATAAACAGCACAGAAATGAGGGTTGGCACTCACGGGTGGTCAGCTGTTCTTTGTCTAATGACTCCACATATTGGCTGGTCAAATTGAGAACAATGGCATCTAAAGTCAACAGGAGAAAAGTTGTATTATAGGGAAAGTGTTCATGAAAAACAGATTCTGTCTGACTCTGCACCAGGGCAGAGACAGATTACCTTTAGCAAAGTAGTAAATGGGCAAACTGCCTGACTTCCTCCAAGGATGATGTGAGGATGACCTCTATCAGATCTTGAGTGTCATGTCTGGCTAGGTAACTCATAATTCTTGTGTAGCTGGGAAAGCTCACACGATGTTCTCACAGGGCGTGCTACTTAGTTTCAGGATTCCAAGGAAGTATAAGAATTACTGTAGTCTCTGTCTTCAAAAAGTTTACAATACATGATCTGATAAGAAATCCTTAGTTTTCTAAGTCAGTCTTGAAGGTGACCCAGCAACTGAACTTATTCACTGTGGCTGGATTAGTTGAAACAAGCTTCATGATAAGAATTAGAATATCATATTTGATGCAATCTCAAAGACTTATTTCCCTTGTTTATTTTATAGATTAGACAGAAAGGTAACAGAAGAAGTTAAATGAATTGTCTAGAACCACATAGAAAAGAAAAGATCTGCTGGTCCTCACACCATTTCCTTTTGCATTATGATGTTTCTGAAGCTCTTAGCTTGAATTCAGTTTGGAGACTGAGGATATTTTATTTAAAAGGATGAGAAGAAGGAAGGAATTTAGACTTGGGCTTGCAGTTGAGACTTGGCAATTGGAAGAAACATGGAAGGTCAATAAAGAGAATGATCTGACTGGGGAGAGTGAGTGGTGGGAAATCAGGAGAGTTTATACATTTTCATCTAGCAAAAGAAAAGAGGCTCCACTGAGGAAAGAGATTATAAAACATAAAATGAATTCTTTCTTGGCCTTCCTTTAATTTTGTCTCTGTCCTGCCAGTATTTCCAGTGGAGGAGCTTCTGCTCAAAGCCAGTCTAGCTGGGAAAGAGAGGACATAACTGAGAACAGACTGTGGGTGTGCTCCCACCTGTGAGCTTGACAGCGGCACTCCTGATCATCTCCCAGGTGCTATTGAAGAAGGTGAACGAGTGTGTGTGGAGGATCCACAGAATTTCCTGGTTTCTCTTTGCCTGGAAGAGATGTGTATTACAAAAAAGGCAACTGCAAAGTGGCCCTTTATGAAATTCAGCACCCTATCAGACAAATGTGTATTGGAAGAAGTGCAAGAAGTGCAGCCAGGTGCTCCTTGGAGGCTAAGATGGCCAGACTTCGTCTCTCATACTTCAGACATATTGTCAGGAGGGACCAGTTGCTGGAGAAGAATATCATGTTTGTTAAGGTGGAGGGGCAGAGAAAAAGAGGAAGACCCCTAATGAAATGGACTGGCCAAGTGGCAGCATCGATGGACTCAAGTGTGGCAACAATTATGAGGTTGGCCCAGGACTGGGCAGTGTTTCGTTCTGTTGTGCATAAGGTTGCTATGAGTCAGTACTGACTCGATGACACCTAACAACAACAACAACAACAACAACAACAACATCAGAATGTACTCTAAGTGCCAGTAAATACTCATACAATTGTGCATTATTTTATTGAGAATTACTACTGTGGGTATTATTAATTAATTAATGATCTAAATGTAAACAGTAAGGCATCAGGATTTAAGGGAATCTAGTTAAACACATGGTAGTCAGGACTTTGGGAAGAACCAAAGGGTAATGTGGTAGAATATCAGGATTATTGTTGCTCTTCCATGATAGTCCTGACATTGGTCTGAGATTTCCTGTTACATAATTTGCCCTACTGGAATTTGACTGGACACTGTTCTTCACTTCTTGGAGGCAGCATCTGTATCTATTTCCTACTTACCAGTTTCACACAAAATTGTCTATAGAAATCTCTGGCCCTTGGTAGATCCTGGCCCTCAACGAGGTAGTCTAGTACTCCATAGAGTTCTTGGAGGCCCAGAAAAGGAATACAGACGATCAAGACATCACGACAAGCCTAGAAAACAGAGTCTTTGTGTTACTATCCACAATGCTAGGATACCCATTCCAGAAGAGAAAACATCCTGAATGATATTAGGAAACAGTAACAGTAAAAGTCAATAGCTTGAAAGACCTTAAAATCATTCTTGGTACCTTCTCAAATTCAAAAATGGAAGAGCAAGCTCACGAAGGGATACTAAGGGAGAACCCACAGTTTCAGAAGAGATTTTCAGAATGGTTAATTCAGATCTAGTCTCTCAGGACAGCTCGTCTAGGCTCACTAGCGCTTCACAGCTACCCAAGAGAGAGGAGGAACAGATGTGTGTGTTGGGTCACTTACAGCTCCAATATTGGGGTTGGGATCCCAGAGGTGGAGAAGGAAGGAAATCATGCTCTTCTTTGTTTCTTCAGCAAAAAAAAGCTTCCACCTTCTTCCGGTTAGTGATGCCAGATTTTCAAATAAGCAGATGGCAGTCAGCCTTACATCATCTTGCTCCTGTGGCAACAGATGCATCTCATAGGTGAGTGTCCCCTCACCAACTCCTGCCCACCACCTTCATGTCCCCTCCTTGCTCCACTTCAGCAAAGCAAAACAGGAACTGAGGCATAGACCATATCCAATCTACCAATTCCTTTTTCAAAAGCTCTCTCTTGATATAAGTCCAAATTTCAATAACCATGGGCTGAGAGGATAAGATACAGCTAGAGAAATGCTTCATGTCTCTAGATAGCTAGTGAGGAAGTGTAATCACAGGAATGATAAATGGGGTGTTGGCAGAAGAGGGTTCCTGCTTATATAGTATCTTACACACATCAGCCTACTCACAAATGCAAACCTGGAGAATTACAGAATGCTGCAGTCAAGCTGATCTTAACTCATGGCGACCCACGTATTACAGAGTGGAATTATCTCCATAGGTTTTCTTGGTTGTAATCTAGATGGAAGCAGGTCACCAGGCTGGGTAGGTCTGAACTGCCGATCTTTTCGTTAGTAGCTGAGAACAAACTGTGCCACCCAGGTATTTATAGTGGTGGTGGCTGTGTGCCGTGGAGTCAGCTAAGACTCATGCCACCCTGTACAGGGTTTCCGAGGCTGTAAATCTTTACGGGAGCAGGAAGCCTCATCTTTCTCCTGCGGAACAACTGGTAGTTTCGAACTGCTGACCTTGCGGTTCGCAGTCTGATTCGGAACCCCTACGGTACCAAAGCTATTTGTTGTTGTTGTTAAGTGCCGTCGAGTCGGTTCCGACCCATAGCGACTCTGAACAAGGTTTCCGAGGCTGTGAATCTTTATGGAAGCAGAAAGCCTCAGCTTTCTCCCGCGGAGAAACTGGTAGTTTGGAACTGCTGACCCTGCGGTTCACAGCCGTATTCATCACCACTACGCTACCAGAGCTATAGGACAAACTAAAATCTAGAGTTCAAAATAGTCAATACATTATCAGTCAAGGAGAAAGAGTTAAACAGCAGTAAATAGCAACAACAAAACACAAACAAACCCATGATTGGAGTGAATTAATAGAAAAATGTTGGAACTGAAAGAGAATTTTTCTTCATAATCCAGACTTTATTTATACAAGTAAATCTTGTTTAGAAGTCCACATCAGTCACGGGCCTGTAAAATATTTAAAGAACTGAAAAACTAGATTTCCGAGGAGCAACGATAGAAAAGAAGACTTCTAAGTCTGGAGACCGGAAGGAAAATAGGTAATTTAATAAAACCTTAATGATTACGAAGGATGTACTTAAGAGGGCAATCAGCAGTTTCCTATCTCCCCTAACAACCAAACATGAAGAAACAAGTTTAGATTATAAAACAATAGAGTGCAGTTGTACATGATAGAGAATTCCATATTGGTGGTAGTATAAACCAGAAGTAAATAAAAAAATATAGTTTCCAAGAAGGCATAAAGGAAAACAAACCTCCTTGCTTAGCACTGCTGGATGATGTTTTATTGAAGTTAGAACTACGGACAAAATGAAAGGTTGGCAAACTTTTTCTTAAAAGGGCAAGAGAGTGAATATTGAGACTTTGCACATCACATATGTCTGTGTTGCTTTTATTGTTAGATGACATTGAGTCCATTCTGACTTATAGCGACCTTATCACAACAGAACAAAACACTGCCTGGTCCGGAGTTACCCTCACAATTGTTGTCAAGCTTGAGCCTACTGCTGCTGCCACGGAGCCAATTCATCTAGTTGGGGGTCTTTCTGTTTTCCACTGACTCTCCACTTTACCAAGCATAATAGCTTTCTTCACGGAATGGGCCCTCTTTATAATATTCCTGAAGTATGAGAGATGATATCTCACCATCCTAGCTTCCAAAGAACATTCTGGTTGTACTTCTTCCAACACAAATTGGTGTGTTCTTCTAACAGTCGATGGTACTTTTAATAATCTTCTCCAATATCCAAACTCAAATGCATCCATTCTTCTGTGATCTTCTTTACTCATTTTCCAACTTTCACATGCATATGAAGTTATTAAAAATACCATAGCTTGGGTCAGGTACTCCTTAGTCCTCACACTGACATCTTTGATCTTGAACACTTTAAAGACGTCTTATGCAGCAGATTTACCCAATGAAATATGTTATTTGATTTCATGACTGCTGCTTCCATGAGTGTTGATGGTGGATCCAAGCAAAATGAAGTCTTTGATAACTTCAATCTTTTCTCCATTTATAGGGATGGTATTTATTGGTCCAGTGGTGAGGATTTTTTTTTTTTTGGCTGTAATTTTTATTATAAAGTTTTTGTTGTGAATTGAGTGATAGTTTACATGGGAGAACATTAGTTTTACACTCATCATTTCATTGCAATGATTACAATCTACAATCTCCTCTGTGCATCATCATTCAACAATATTTGCTTCTATTCCCTCTGTTTTTTTTTTTCAGGGGATGTACACAAAACCATTCAGGAATATATAATCATTTAAATAACCAAAGGACACATTGAGCAAGCCTGCCTCCTGGCCACCAGCACCTGAATGCCAGCAAACAGCCATTCTCTTTCCATGAATCTAGAGTCCTCAGCAGCTCTCTCTCTCTCCATGCCCTGTTCTCTGTTTCCATCTCTGGTGTCACTGCTTCTGTGGATAGGGTCCCACATTCTGCTTGTGCCTTTCTCTCTTGATGGTCCTGGGGTTCTCTATTCCTGGACTGTAAGATTAACTACTCCCCTCTTTTTGTTACAAAACTTCTACCTTTACAGTTGCAACAGTTGCAATTAGTCATGATAACAACCACTCACTGTTGAATCATAAGAATCTTA